AATAATGGCTTGTACTAGCTGGTCATACGTAAGTACCTAGAATGCGTTTCCCCAGAAGTTATCTCACCAGACAACACTTTGTATATGCTGATGGCATTAACTGATTGTTTCCATATGTAATATTTATACATAGTATTGTAGTAAACTGTATTATTTTGAGCTGTGTTTTCGCTTATCCTCTTGTGATTTGTATGTATTTCGTGCGCTATTCTCCAATTGACCCTCACTAACACTCCGGATATCGAAGAGCGTCAGGACTGAAACGGTGCTAGAGACGATACTCTGTGAATGTCGTTGTTTAGAATTAGCTGAACGATGGCTAGCACCAGCTAGACATAAACGTGTGCTTAGGATATATCTCTTAAATCGTGCGGGCTGCTGTATTCACCGCGGGGCTTAACTTTACGGTTGTACCCATTTGAGTTCATGATTGAAGTCACCGGTTTGGTATGCCGATCGATTTAGAATCGCCCTCTTGCTCGCCCTTCGGTCTTATTCCCTCGTGCTTACACCGTTCACAGGACGATGAGTAGAACGCACGTGCAGCTCAACGCGAACCGGCATTACTCCTTGTGCGTGTCCAGTTGTGTAGGATAAGGCTGCCCTCCTTCGTCGTACCTACTCTACTTTGTTACTGTGCTGCTTGAAATCTCTCTGCCTGTCTCTGAGACCTCGGGAGTTGAAATGCTCCCGAGTTGTGCTCATACAGACACTGAATATACGGACGATATTTCTCTCGTTGGTTCAGGTCCTTCAAAAATGCAATCCACTTTACATAACCTAAATAACTCTGCCGCACAGTTTGACATTCGCTTCACACCTGCGAAGAGTGAAGTGCTAGACTGGGTTGGATCAAACCCAAACCTCATGCTTGCAGACGAACCAATCGGAGTGGTAGTTAAATTTGTTTACCTGAGCAGTTGTATATGTTCCGTTCGATGATGGGCAGGGCAGCTATTCCAAACCCGGACTTCAATGGCGCTAGTCTGTCAAGGGCAGAGTTTACAATGTGGCGATGCGATCCATGCTACTTTGTGGATCATAGACTTCACCTCTACGCGCACAAGACATATGAAAGCTGTCAGTGTTTGAACATCAGTTTCTCCGAAGCATTGGTCGAGTGTGGTCGGAAGTTTGGATTAGTAATGATGATGTACACCAGATGGTCTTAGGAAGAAGGAACTCTCCCACGATAGATAAATTACTCACGCTTCATAAGCTACGCGGGTTAGGACGTGTACTCCACATGCCAGAAGACTGTCTGGCTCGCAGAGCTCCCTGCACCCAGCCCTGTGCTGAGTGGAAGCGACCAAGAAGTAGACAGTTTATGACCTGACAACGAAGTGTGGAAACACTAGTTAACTGAGTCGGATCGACAACTGCCGCTCCCCTGAATGGGTAACCCAGAATTCAACTCACCAATGGTCAATCACACTGGTAGAAATGACAGATTATGTAGTCAGTGGTGCTCATGCATCCAAGCTGTAGCCTTTAACGCGTAGCTACCAAGATTCCGAACTAACCAAACATGCCTTCGCCGCCAATGTCTGGCTGTATGTTCCACCCTGTCCAATTTCCGGTGATCGAACCTGTAGCACCTGGAACCAATGTACCATCGTACATGGTTCATAGCTGATAAGTTGAATTGATTGTTTTTGGGGGTCCATGGTCGTAGTCTGATGAAGCGAATGTAAATCACATTCGTTTCGTAACTCCATAAAAGTAACGACACAAAGGGAACATGGGTACTATTTGACTATTTTTTGCATTCCATATGATCGTAACAGATGACTGTTTCCCTGTTCGCAATAGTGAGTTAGACTCCTTCTGTAACAAGGCTTGTGGCGTCAATGATTGTCCGTCGTTGCACGCGAACCCCTGACCTGTGAGTATCAAGCGGGATGGCGACCGGGTTGCGTTGACCACTTCTTCAAACTCCGTCAGCTGTTAGAGCAACGCCGCATGTTCAGGCCACCCACAATCTTGGTGTTCCTTGACTTCAAGTATGCGTCCGATTTTTCGATCGGTCAGTGCTGATACTTACACTTGCTCAACATTGTACCATCTTGCCTCTTGAACCTTCAAAGTGCGAAGCCATGCATCAGAATGTACGGTCGCTGAACATATACCTAACGATTCAAAGATAATGGTTGTGGGTTGTGGAGAATTTCACTTACCTCGGTAGTTGTATTGACTCTGGCGGAAGTGTGTCTGATGAATTCAGTGCACAAATCTCAATGTTGAGAATCACGTTTGCTAATTTACATCACCTGTGGCGTCAAATAGGCATGTCAATTGGTCTCGGGTCGCGTGTACCAGGCTATAGTAAGGCCTATGTTTTTGCGTGGGCGCGAGGTGTGGCCTCTGTGGATATGAGGCATCCTCAGGTTTTTTACCACCGATGCCTCAACCGTTGCTGGTTTTGGACGGAGTCAACGGATTAGTAGTGAGGTGATTAGAAAACGGGTGTGTGGAGGTGTAGGTACCTCGGAATGTTTGTAGTAAGCTAGCGCTAAGCCCCTTCCCCGTCCATCCTTATTCTTTTCTTCACAATGATGCTTTCAAATAAATCATGGTTGTACGATAGTGAAGCATCGATGTTGAACACTGATGTCATACTGTCGATGGTGATGATGACTTTAATCGCGGAGAACATCCAGCATTATTGACTATGGTGGCTCGGCCATGTGCTACGTACGCCGAAACACCGTCTACCAAGACGAGTGTTGTTCTCCGTATCTCCTTAATAAGGACGCAAACTGTAGGGTGGACAACGTATGAATTGCAAGAAGGGTGTAAAGGAGATTACGAAGAGTTTGGGTTTCGTAGATTTTGTAGACGTTCCGGGATGTGGTCTCGTTACCTCTCCTGAGCTTTTTTGACGACATTGAAAGGAATGGCGGCTGATCGATGTCAGTGGGGTTTGTGTTGTCAGTTTCCAGATTGTCCGATTGAGGGCTTGGGGGTGTGGGCACCTGATACTGCTTGACATAGGCCAGCAACAAATCCCCTCCCTCACCCATTCTCTTTTCTCATTTTGTGGCTCTAAATATAATAAGATGAACTTTATGGTTGTACGGTAGTGGAACATCAGTATCAACACTTATGTTGCTGTCTCTGATACTAATGACGATGAGACGTCCTCTCACCAATTGACCTGATCTTAGGAACGCGTGGTAGATGTGGGTTGTGTCCCTGTGTTTGGATACCGCTACATCACCTCCTCCTCGGTGCAAAGTCGCTGAACTGTGCAATGATAATGTAATGGCAAGACGTACAACAATTTGTTTAGTACAGCGGACCGACCAACAACCACCAATGAAACCTGAGATACCGAATTTTCTGGTAGTGCTGATATGACGGTCATTATGGAGATGTGATCATGGACCGACCACAACCACCAATGAAACCTGAGATACCGAATTTTCTGGTAGTGCTGATATGACGGTCATTATGGAGATGTGATCATTGTGAAGTATATTGGCGCAATGCAAGCGCATAACCTCGTTGGTAGAATGAATCACCAAATAATGAGATCTCATCATCGCACCTAATGGTGTTCTCTACCGTTTGGTCTTTCGATAAAGGTCTCATCCTTCGACTAAGTAGCGTAATCCAATCTTACGGATGACTTCACACTATTACTTACATACAGTTGGCTTAAACACAATACCCTTCAGCCCTTAGAAAGTGGTTTTATGATCTATCTTTTTTTCGTTACTAATAGATGATGGTTGTAAGTTACCTTTCATTGCTATTATGTTGTGCTGTCCGTTCAGTTAAATATGAATATGAAGAAGGAATTCCGTATCCTTTGTTTGCAATGTTCCACAGTCCGTCTTTGAGCTGCCAGACAGCGAAATTTTTGCAAAGCATGTCCTGATGAGATCGACCGGAAGCACTCCAACCAGACGTGGTGATTGTTGCACGTCGGTGCTTGTTGGTGAACAAAACCATTGTGCAACAACGTCCATATATTTCTCCCCATCCTTCGATGGGTGAAAGTGTCCCCCATGACTTTATGTGAGATTTGGGGACAAATTTGCGTTGACTGTTTCTACCAGTAAGATTTCCACTCCTTCTTGACCTTCTTTTCGATCTCCCAACCGTCTGTTCAACGACATCGATCGTATTCGCGTTTTTCCTCATCAATTATCCACTCAGGTTCAAATAGCATATTCTAGAAGTAACAAAAACGGTCACTTTTAATGGGTTTCACAGCACATTTCTCATTCCGAATGAGAGGTTCTTCGTGAGCTCAATTCTCTGTTGGTTGTACAGTCCATATCTTTCCCATTACTCATTATGGGTGGATCAGTCATGATATGATCTCTGGCTCTCTGCTCTGTTGGTCTACTGTTTTATGGCAAAAATGATACATTTCCGAAGTTGTTACATTCGTAAACGTATGTGACTATGTGGCATAGGGAATACGGGCCATCTTAGTTTTTATTTGAATTCGCTTCTTTAGTTTTGTAACGTTTTCTCTCGCGGGACATTTATCGGGACTCAGTTTTTTCGATGAAACATTTTTTAGCAATTCTAACCATTACTTGCTATACTTGTTTAGGTTTATTTACGACCTTTATGCCTATGGCGTGCTTCAAAGTGGTTTCTGTTCTTTATCGAGCTGGTTTTGGATCTTACAATGGTCCCGCTCCGGAATGAAGTCCGCCTCCTCAAGACTAAACGTGTCTTGACTGTATTCGCTCTTCGGCTTCCTCTGCAATCTAAGAAATAATGAAGCCACCCATCTGTCCTTGAAAGATGTCACTGTTGGGACAAGCTTTCTTGGAAGGGGCCACTGCGGACACAGTGAAATTAAAGACCGTTCCTCCTGCATTTTTAGTTGCTTATTTTTCTGTCTGTTGATGTGGCAATCCACGTGCAAACGGTTGTCCATTTTACGACGTTCACTACCTTCTCTTTTTCTACTCTGTTGTTCACTACTTAGATGATTGAGGCCGAGCTTCGCCGCATGGAGGCCGAGTTTAGTACGGCTCACGTTCAGCGGTTGACCGCTTTCCTTCCGGAATCATTCATACGTCGCGGTGGAGATAACGATGCTCTCCTTGTGTTACTTCTAGTTGATCGGTTGGCTGCCAAATCCAACATTTTAGCCACTCATGTAAGTTGACCAACCATGTTAGCCATTTGCATCACGAGGGCTAACACCGGTGATGGTACCTTCTCAAACGTCTGGTTATTTTCACTGCTATCTGTGATGCGCAAACAAACGATATCTATCCGTGTATCCATAATTTGTTATTTATTATTGACTAATCAAAAGTTTTTAGCGGTTCCACTCATTGGGCGCATTTCACAGTCGAAGATTGTTTCGTCTAGTTCATTCCTTAGTTCAAATTATCCCATCACCGCGAACTGGTCACCCCGCATTTGCGGTGTAATTATGGTTGAGTGTGTTCACGTTTCTAATTGAAGGAGCGGCAACTGCGCGGACAAGCACAACCAGTGCGAGGGCCGAGAAACTGGGTAACTGTGAGGACACGAATTATAACGCATGTCTGACTTACTTTGAAACTTATCATCTGAAGTTCGCGGTCATCCTGTGAACGAAATGGCTACCGATAGTGCTACCACGTTCCGGTGTTTCTCTGTTTCTCATGCTCATTCCGTCTACTGTATTTCGTGTTGGGATTTGCTCGCAGTTTACACGAAAACTATGTCCTTGAAAATACGCCTTGAGCTAGGCAGTAGCGGTGCGTTTTGCGAGTAACTGTTTTTTTAGAAGCAGTCAAATAGGATTTCTCGGGAGCATTTTCAAAGAGCTGCTGGGTTCTAAAATCGGTCTCTTGAGAACAAAACTGTACATCATATTTAGCTTTCCAGAATAACATGTTCGCCATCATCTTCTGGAGCTTGAATTTTAATGTACTTCCAAAGTGGTTTAGAGTCCGGCCCAATACGAAATAAACCTCTTATATTCTAACCGTGGAGTAAGGACGTCGACCGTTTTTCTTGGGGACACCAACCTTGGTCATATTGTTCTATTTCCACACTACTGCATAACCCGCAGTAGTTTAGACCTAGTTTTTCATATTGTCATCATTTTTTCCAGCTAACCGAGCGATATCCACTACCGTCGTGTATTCCTGGACAAGCGAAAACTCAACCTGTCCTGACCCCTTCGGACACGGGCTCAGCTGGTACAGGATTAGATTCTGCGAAACAAGCGGATGATATTCGATTGCCTGGATCAGCACAGCCCCTTCCACCAATGACTAAAAATAAGGCAGAATTCTACAGCTTCATTACCTGCACCGTCTACCTGCTGAGACGATGGGCTGCGCTTCTGGCGCACTACAAACAGTAGGTTTTTCGCCTGTAAACAACCGTTATGTATGTTTTTGCCTCACCTTTTTCTGTTTCGTTAAGATCTCGGCTTATTCACACCAAAGGAGAGTCTAGGTCTCCCTTCAAAATGTATTGTTGATATCTGATTTTGGCTTTGACTAGCTTCAGACACCTACCATCGACGCTGATACCTCGTCAGGGAACCTATTTATATCAGGATCTATCAGCTGTTCAGATCTGTACGTTTTCGGTCTGACAGTTTAGGTCGTCATCTACTTCACGGTGCGACAGTCATTATTTTACTGTGCATACAATTCATTGAACTGCTGTTATCTTTACTTTGTCGCGTTTTCCTGTCAACGATTCCTTTGATTTACGTGCACGTTTTTTTTCCAACAGCAACATAAGTTTTTCAACTGGTTGGACCTGTCGTCATTTAGCCAGAGCAATCAGCTTCCGTAGCGACAATATAGGGCGAGTCGATAATTGTCTTTTCGTTCCTTTATTTCTGAGAAGTGGTTATAAAGACGCGGGTAGCTGATGTGCGTGGGATGAACCCCGTGTTATTCAAACGGTCCTCCTATGCACTCACTCAACCGAGTCGTCTAAAGTAACTTAACCGGGTTATCTTGAGTGAGCCCATTTTTGTATGCTCAGTCGTAAGCTTGCGCATGTACTTGCTCGAATCCGGGCGACTGTCTGTAACTTTCTGCATGATCATTTTTACAACTCGTTTGGAAAGGGTCCTCTCCGGATGCAGCATGGAACTGTACCTCAAATTGGGTTCCCTTTACGGAGAAATGGCAGCTCACGAACAAAGCATTGATCGACTACTGGAGCTCTGCAAAAAGGATCAACTGGATGAAAATACTTCGCTGGAACCCCTACTAGCATCAATCGGTTATTTTGTCCAACTTCGGTCGGTCCATCTGGCAAACGAACCTGTGCTGGACTGTTACACAAAGCTGTTGGACTTCGTCTCTTGTGTTCTTGCGGCGTCCGATGCTTTGGCCACCGATTCAACTGCTCTAATGCTACTCACTGGGCAGGTGAGTGTTATGTCTTCCTTTTCTCTTGGACGAAGCTAAAAGCTTTCGTTGTTAGTAATTTCCTATGGTGTTTCTTTCTATTTTTACGCGAGACGGTAAACCTTAGCAACCATGGAAATCCTTCTTACCCAGACTAGTAAGCTTTTCTTGTCCGAAACATCCGGATAAGTTGGATTCGATGTCTTTGAACCCGCTAGCCGAAGGCATTATACCCTAGTGTAACAGGTTTTTGCGACCCGATCACATATATGGTAGTATTGTAACACATTTTCGCATCTTACAGACTGATTGCTTATTTATTATGTTTTGCGAAATGTAGACCGTGTTGCTTCCTCATGGCTACCAAAAGGCTTAGAGCGTATGTTAAATTAGTCTGTTGACGAAATGTTGCCTTGGTTACCCACAACTCTCCTCTAATCCTCCCTCTGTAACACTCTTTCGGTGCCTAGCTGTCATGCCACCTGAAGGAAGCAAGAGGGCTGTGATACTGCCAGGTTTCCCAAGCCTAGAGGTCGGGATGCATACGTCCGGTTCGCACCAGGACTTTCCGATAAGTAAATTCGCGCTCTAATCATCTCGACCCCCATCCTGTGGCAATCTTGCAGTGTTACAGTTTGTTATAACTGTAGTTGTGTGTGCGTAACATCGAGTTTCGCTATCCAGTTATGCGGACTTCATCACACCACTCCTGGATTCTACAGTCCGTGGGAACAATTTCTGATCCGTGGTTGGAATATTGGTATGCTTTCAGGCTCTGAGGTATACATTTTGTTGCTATTGGGCACACAGGATGCGGAATTTTGTTGGATGACTTAGCTTGTTGATAACTGGCCAAAACAATAACCGAAAATCAGGCACCGTTACTCACATTGTCTCAATTTGAGACCTGGTTGAATGGCGTCATAAAGAACAGACAATAAGAATCTGCAATAGTATTAGCTTTCGAGGTCAGGCATTTTCCTGGTACAGTTATTTAGAACTAAAATGCTTTCTTGGTTTGCTTCATTGCACTGATTTTCAGTCATGTTACCCATGAAGATCTGAAGGGGCCTGTCGGATGTGTTTACAGTGCAACAGATCATCTTTTTGTACCGGCGTCGGTACTTCTTGCGTAGAATTACACCTCTTGGCCGTTGATCAAGTAGTACTTAGTCCGTTCGTCGATCATGATAGCTTGCAAACGTCCTCTCACCACATCGCGGTTGCACGTTTAGGTACCTCGCTTGCCAATGCTCTTCCTATTTACATATGCAGTAGTCAAAAAGTATCCCCAGTGATCGCTGTATTCTTCTAGGTTTACGTTTCACTTACCTATTTACATATGCAGTAGTCAAATAGTATCCCCAGTGATCGCTGTATTCTTCTAGCGGTATCCCTTCAGACCTGTAGCAGAATAGCCGGATTCCATACCAGTACTTTCGTCGGAAAACCAAACGCAACCCAGATTCATTTCATCCCATAAATATGCTGTCATCATCATCATCATCATCATCATTGTCAACACGATCGCGCTGTGCGTGTCGAATAATAATCTAGGTGGCTAGAATGAGTAACAATGTGCAACAACCATTTTCCCGTAACAGCAACTAGATTCCCTGGAACAGGCTGCCACTGAAGCCGCTGCGTCTGTTGGTGGTCCCATGGGGATCACTGGAGATCATCAGCCCACAACAACTACTACGTCATCTGCAGGCTCACCTGGCGGTTTGCTAGGCCTGTTGATGGACGTAATTCGCTTCGCAACAGTAACACGGATCACCGCTCGGCGTGTCCGTCGACGCCTCCCCAAGGATCGCAACACGCAGCCCATCTCGTTTAGCTCCGATGTTTCCACCAATTTGGATAGGACCGTGTCTCTGCTAAGTGACGTGGTCGCCGTTTTGCGGGAAACTACTCGTAAATCTGGACGACTAACGGTTCGTCAAGTGGTGAGTTTCACTTTATCTTTGCGTGTCTTTGTGCAGTGTTTTCTTGACAGTTACCACGTGGCGAAGTCCACTGACAGATACTGGTCGTGTCCCGTTTGTTATGTTTGAATTTCAGTATTTTTCACCCTGGACAATTAACTCTCTTGTTTCCCTCTCATCGGAGTCAGACGGTTTTCGCTAACCTTGTACTGTTTCACGTTGATACCGCCTCGATCTATTGAATGTCTAGAAAAACAGTAACGAGTTGTCCCCCTGGCACTGGTCATGCATCACTGGCTGAGTTGGGTGTTTATTAACTGTCCGTGTTGTCCGTACTTCATGTTTATTACCACCTGAAAAGAGTGACGGTAAACGGGCATTTGCGATTGCGGTGGCGAGCTACATGATCCTATTAGTGACTACCGCCACTAATGCCCAACCAGCGACTGTGTGGTGAATACCTAACCACCCAATCAACAGGCTTTTGCAATATGGCACAGCATTCCACCTCGAGCAAAAGAATTCTGATCATAACTACAGCTGATCACTAACCAGCCACATTAGTGAATTCTCTGATTGGACGTGCTATCCCAATACGCACACAACCCAGGACAAGGTACATTTGAAATGCAGGTCAACAGTGATGAAGCTTAAGGATAGGTTGCTCACCATCCCTTGGATTTTCATCGCTCCATCATCATCGGTCCCAGTGCCGTGCAGGGATGCGTCCTCGCTAAAATCTCTGACTTTTTAATGGTTCTTCTCTTGATACTCCTTGTTTGTTTATTTCTTGTCAATATCATAGACACTTGCGGAGGGAAAGTTGAATCTCAATAGTTTTCCATTCATTCTTCCCGTATTGCGCTTGTTTGGAATACGTCTGCTTTCTATTCCTTACTTCCGGAGAGTTTGATTCATCATTCGTCGGCTTTGCCGCCACCTTTCTTCTCTATTCAGTGCCCCTTCTTTCTTCAGATTTTGGGATTATTCACACGATATTTATTTTGGTCGCATTTCACTAACAAACGTCGGTTGCCTCTATCTCCACCAGGCTCATCATGCGAGAAACCTTTCTCTTTCTTGATAGGAGGATTCTGGCGACTTGAAACCTAACACTGTTTTCACGGAGTGCCTAGTCGAAGCTGTCAAAGAGCGGTTTTCAGCAGGTCCTTCAAGTTCCGTCCAACCAGACCTCTCAATTCGAACCTACTTGGGACAAGTCCGTGAACTGGTCGCGCAGGTTGCGCTAGCGATGGAAAATGGAGAGTATGATTTCGATGGCACGAAACAACCCAAAGTGAGCTGACCTGGCGGCTGTCAACTCGACTAAGACTTTTGCTTCCAATTATTACAGCTGAGCCACCATTCATATTTAATAGTTGTCTATTGTCATCTCAACCACCGGTCGCCTTTGGTTCTGTTCTTCGTCCTGATTTTAATGTTTTTGTTCGTGGACGTTACTTTCGCTTTGTTGGACGTTGCCGTGTCATATTCGCTGACCGTTATCCGTTATGCTAACGAACCATGTTAGATATTTTGCTGTTACAGGACGTAATCATGCTCCACGGGAGCCACTTTGATTTGGCTAGTTTCCTCGTATAGCTTCAGCTTAAGCTATATATAAGTCCATTTTCGTAAGTCTGATCGTCACCCGTCCTAAAGAGCACATTCTTCGGATTTCGGTTCTCGTCTGCTCTCATCTTGGTGGACAGGAATAACGGAGCAAGTGCAAAACAGCGAATATCGTGATTGAACTAAGAGCCACCTATCTTCATACACTGAGGTCCTATGTTAGGCTATTGCGCATGCTTATTGATGCTCCCTAATGTGCGTGTTTATGAAACTTCGTTTTTTCAAGCTCCTAATCGTCGTCTACACGTTTACTCTTCTCATCATATTTATTGGAACTCAGTCCAAGTACAGTGCGATCGGCTCGTGGACATTCCTCATGTAAGGTGGTCCATGTGTCACAGTCCGTCATTTGGCCTCAATTCCTTGTTGATTTCCCTTTAGGGGACTGAGTGAATTGTGTATTCCCTCACCTTTTCTTTATTCCAAATTTCCATGCTTTCTATGAAGTCATATTTTCATATGCTGAAGCACTAGTAAGGAAAACGCCAGTTGAACTATTTAGCCTCATATTCACTGAGTGCCAGAGTTTCAACGTTTGTTTAATTTATGATGTCTTTTTATTTCATACTCGAACACACCATCCATTGCCATGGATTCATGGCTTATTTTCCACTCCCACTCCTATGGAGACCCATGATTCTCCATTGTACACATTTTCCAGAAATTCCATTCAAATCATAAACAATAGTTGACAAGACCAGGTCTTTATTCTGTGGTGCTTGATTTATGTTTTTGGATATTTTCAATCCCCAAATGAATCGCTGTCTTCATCTTTCCGAATCAGCCCCAAGAACCATACACCCTGCGCGCAATCGCCTATAAGCAAGCTCAGGCTGACCTTGAGGGTTGCCGTGCCAAACTTGAAATCAAAGAAGAAGAGGTTCGAGAACTGCAGATGACCATAAAGTCACGTGCCAACGAGCTGAGTGAGATGTCTGTCCGCCTGGGTTTGGCTGAAAAGCGTTTGGAAAACGCAGGAAAGGGTAATGAGGAGAAAGTTAGTCGTTTGGAGCAACGGCTAGAACAAATGGAAGCTCAACAGAAGCGTCAGGAACAGTGAGTGCCCGTGTTTTCGTTTTTTGCAGCCATTATAGTTGGTCGTAAACAGACCGAACACGTCTTTTCTTGTTGCTACGTATACCATACAACATGCTACGTTCCCCTTTCCCATTCAGCGTCCACCATCGTGCTTGACTTATGTTTTTGGATGTTTTCAATCCCCAAATGAATCGCTGTCTTCATCTTTCCGAATCAGCCCCAAGAACCATACACCCTGCGCGCAATCGCCTATAAGCAAGCTCAGGCTGACCTTGAGGGTTGCCGTGCCAAACTTGAAATCAAAGAAGAAGAGGTTCGAGAACTGCAGATGACCATAAAGTCACGTGCCAACGAGCTGAGTGAGATGTCTGTCCGCCTGGGTTTGGCTGAAAAGCGTTTGGAAAACGCAGGAAAGGGTAATGAGGAGAAAGTTAGTCGTTTGGAGCAACGGCTAGAACAAATGGAAGCTCAACAGAAGCGTCAGGAACAGTGAGCGCCCGTGTTTTCGTTTTTTGCAGTCATTATAGTTGGTCATAAACAGACCGAACACGTCTCTTCTTGTCGCTACGTATACCATACAACATGCTACGTTCCCCTTTCCCATTCAGCGTCCACCATCAGCTCTCGGTACCCTCTGATGCCATACTTCTCTCATGAGTTCATTTGGTTTGGTATCTGTAGCCCGCCGTTGAAATAACCCGCTAGGGGAAGATGGTGGCGACTCAATTCTGTCTCAGATTGTTGATTCGCTAACATCCCTCTGTAAAGAGAACTCCGCATTTTGAGACATTCTTCAGCGCCCATAAGCTTATCATCGAAATTCCCGCAAGAATTATGGTCGTACCTCTGAACAATGGCCATAGACGAATTTCCTCGGTTTTTAGCCCGTCTTCAAAAATTGGTAAAAATGTCACATAGCAGCCGCGCATTAGCAACCTGAACTTATTCGCTCGCAAATTCACGAATGAGGAGAAATGGTGGGATGTATGAGGTCGCGAAAATCTGCCAGTCAATAGTACCGTCTCTTTTCGAGTTGAATGTTCGGTCTCACGGAGTTGTATGTGGTGTTCCTTATCCTGTTCAGTGTGGTGGTCTTGATTCTGAATATTAGCTCGTAGGAGCCGATGAATGTCCCAGAGTGCTGATTGTTCTCTGATGAGGGGTTTCGACGGATCTACAAGTTGGTTGTATTTAACCATTCAACGTTTTGTGAATTCTCAGGGGACTCCAATCGTGCATTTCTTCCTAACGAGCGAAGTTAGTCTATGCTCAAGTACTGAGAACCACACCATACCTGTTTTATTTCCACCGAACCCTATCGGTAACGCGCATCTCACGTGTGCCGGGGAGAAGTGGGACTCAATCTGTGGATGGTAGTTTCCGGCTGTTGGTAATGATTTGGCAGATTACAGTGCCACTCAACTTTTGACCAGGGATACCCATATCACATGACATTGCGTTGGTTGTCTGATCATTTGTTATGGTTGTACATTCTTCCACTGTCGTTTTACTTGTGTGAATGATACAGCGATATATACCATTCACCAGTACTTAATCAATTGCAACACTGTTTCCTTTGTACTGATCAGTGAACACGAACAAACGGTCGATGCGTTGCAGGCCGATTTAGAAGCGTTGGAACAAGAGAAGGCAGAATTAAAAGAAAAGTTGAAATCTTTGAGTAAAAAGGCTCTCCTGGAAGGTCTAATCAAGATGCCAATAGCTTCGGGTAAGTTACGGAATGCTGTGTTTTATAACCGAATGTTATTATGCACTGAGTGTACAATGATACATTGATGGCGAGGGACCCGGCGGCAAAGTGCCGTTCCAAGTGAAAATTCAGTCATATTTTAGAGTACTGTCCTACTGAACAGAGGACCATAGAGAGAATTACCATGTTCGTTTTGTGAAACTCGCGAAACCGTCAAAGTATTATTCCACAAAGAGAAAATTGTATCCATTTACACCGTGGATATGTAACTTTTGTTGGAGATCTTTCCGTTCACCATCTAATTGGATTGTGAGGTGCTCATCGTCAAAAGGATTATCTGTTAGGCCTTGGAAATCCAGTCATCAGGGTTCATTGCATTGGCAAACTCCCGCCGCATGTATCCATTTAATTTCCCTACTTGGCTGATGTGTATAGAATCGCTTGATTGCTCATTCTTCTCATAGGTTCGCCTGGTTCTCGTCAGTCGCCTTCACCTGGTTCTTCGGACGTCCAGAAGGGGACACAACCGCAGGCCACCCCAAGTACACCTAGCTCTCGTGGGCTGGGAAGAGATTCGGCATTCATGTTAACTGAGGTACGTTTGTGACCTCGTGCACACGCATACACGCTTCAGCCTTTAACTATCGGATACGCTATACCTGTTGTATCACTTAATAAATGGGTTAGCCTATACGGGTTAACACATTCGCAATTTGTAATTGCATATATTTCACCAGTTGCGTATGGTTAGGTGTTCAAGGTAAACATAGGGTTGGTAGAAATTGAGCTCAACAAGGACGCAACCGGTAGTGAGTTGTCGAATAGCTCTCAACAGCCTTACCACTAGTGTGCTGTCATGAAAATATCTTTCCGCTCTCCTCACATTAAGAACTCGGCTCTTCTACTGTAAACCTGTGGTTCAGGAACCCGATCACTGTGCTCATGAATTATTCTCACACTCTGGTGACACTTAGTTCGTTCCGCGCTCTTTGGTCATCTTTAAATTTACTTTCTAGCACAAACGAATTCTCAAACTGTGATGCAGTGACTCAAAACCGTCACTGGAGAACTCTCCGGTACCTATGAGCTCGGTGTGACGCGGATACCAAGGCACCAGATCCTTAACAAAGCTCATCTCTGCAAGCCGACTGCTCCTGCGTAGGCTTTTGCATCCACACAGGATTAAAGCTCTCGTGGTTGTTCCATATAATATCGATGGGACGGTATGATTTTGTCAACTTTTCTTCTGAGTGAAGGTGCGTGTCTATCTTGCATAGTTGTGACTCGGGACTGCGGAATGTTGCTCCGCTGCACCATGCATCAGCTTACGTGTACTCACTTTGTTGTGTAGCTCTTGAAAACTGTCGTATGATGTTGAGACTGGAAAGAAGCGAAGTGCGTCTTGACGTTTATTCGCACTATCTCCGCGCACTGTCCATTCACTTATCAAAGCGTGTTGTCCCTAGCATAAACGCCAGTTAAATTACAGGTGAAACTCCATCTGAGAAGCTATCAATCAAGGAGCCAGTCAGCACGTGATAACGTAATTGAGAGATATGTGGCGAGTAAATCACACTACTGTCTCTCGTGGCCGAAGTCTCCGTTTCGAAACTCCTTGTGGTTTCATGAGATGATGATTCCAGCAGTGCAGTATTTATCAGCTTTTCCGCTTAGGTTGGCTTCACTTCCATTGATTACGGTTTACATTGACCCTGGTTCTCGTCCCTCCTTGCATACAAGGTTTTATTATTATTGCATTTTTTACTTCTTGGATGTCATTTGGGCTATTTCCGTTTGGTTTTTTCTGCGACGAGGTCCGATCTTAGGCTTGTGACCGTACGAATAGGAGAATAAGTTCTCGGGAATTTTCTCACGTCCCGTGAACAGTTAGCTTTCGGGGGTTTCATTTCGGATTTCTTCTCATAAAGTTTAGCCGAACACAAACCAAGTCGAGGATGCCTTAATGCACCCATGGTTTTGGGTGAGAACGTTATCCTAGTCGACATTCATCAGCAGCGAGCGTCCCCCGAATCCCAGTACGGTTCCCTACCCGCAACCTCCATTGCATCCTTCAACTACGTGTGGCTGATCAATCGTGTGATCAACTCTTACTAAGACAGTATACAGTGACAGCCCTCCCCAACTGTCATGCTTGGCTCCTTTTTTAGCCTATTCCCTATTGGAACCCGCGGGAGCCTTCAAACCCTTCAACATTCCTAACCTTCCACAGGATTGCTGTGATTCACGGAGCACCCTGGCTTTTCAACATATTTGGCCTAGTTCCTCTGCGCTCATCCGAGTCCCGCCACCGCCTGGATACTGGCAGCTGCTAGTCAAATAGAAGCCTGAGTGCGGTTAAGAAGCTAGCGCAGTAAACTTCTGAAGAGTTTTCTTCCCGTCACAACAAACTTCTAGATCCTTTAAACTAGGTTACGACACTGCCGATTCATTCCTTTTTGCGCAAAGTGGTTGGTTAGTCCTCTAATTTTTACTGGCAGCAGTCGTGGAATAGGTATCCAATACCCCGTCTTATCGGAAGGAAGGTATTTACGCCCAGCAATTTGACGTAGCACAAAAAACCTCAAGCTCCTGACCGGAACACCCTTGGCTCCGCTCTCTCTCTCTCTCTCTCGTGACATCTCAAGCTCGTGTTTCCTATGCGAATCACAATCTACCGTTTGGCTGTGTTCATATATAATGATGGTTCTTTCGTTCATATTGCTCTTGTCACCTCACATATCACTCAATTACTAACGTGTTTGCGTTCAATCTTGATAAAGCCCACTGTTGAAGCTTAAACATCCATCATCGTGCAGTGCACGTACTACTAACGAGTGTTTATATGAGTACAATTGAAGTTTTATTTGATCTTGGCGGAATATTCGAATAGGGGTTGTATGCGTGATATGTTCATGCCCTGTGTTGCATAGTTGCACGCAATCTGCTTGATTTTAGCCACATATTAACACTATTCATTGGCTTGCTGGACAGATTGATGCCCTGAGGGAGGCGCTGCGTGGTATGATGGCTGAAAATTCTCGACTGCGAGGTGAAAAGATGAAAGTGAGTTGTGGCACATTTTTTCCTGTTTGAAAGCTTTGGTCCGCAGTTACTGCATTGCCTTTTCTCACGGTCTATTTAGATAAGGTTTGCGGCCTCAACATACATCTCTCAGCAACAGCCTTTCGGAGTTATTCCCCTATTGCTTTCGGATTTTTCTTATTCCGGGCCGAATGCGCCTCGGATAGTGTTAAAAAAGATTGGGCAACATGTTATGTATGGCATGGATTTTCAAGTCGAAACACAGCGTAGTCTAATGAGGTGTTGTAATCCGACTTTTCCGTTGTCATCGCCCACACTGTACCCACTGGATTCACTGTGGTAGGTACGTGTTTAAACAAAACAGCCCCTGGCTTGCTTACGGGCTCGGTATTTCTGACAAATGTGTACAATTCTTTTCCGCCAAATATTGTCATTTCCATACCAGTTTAGTTCTGAGTGGAGACTCATTCGAATCCACCTGAATCCCTCGTTTATTATGATCTTGCTTGTTTCTTTTCACTGTGGAAACTGGATCAAACGACAGAGGTAGTGTTTGGTGCTCCAGTAACTGATTCTACCTTGGTTTCACCTGACTTGCCAATAGTATAGGACTGAGTTCATAACGAGATTTCGGTTGCTTTTTAACAAGCTTACTCATTTCACTTGTGCCAATGGTTAAACCTCCTGACAATCACCTTTGGAACGCGCAGAAAATGTGGTATCGGACCTCCTGCATGAATGACATACTTCCAAAAACGTACCACTTGGTGACCTATAGGAATTAGCAGTACAAGAACCTATTTGTTCTCCATTTCGGATACTTTAGAAATTTGGAAACTCGGCTTCGTCAGTTGTAGTGTTATCAATTGGTTCACAAACGAAGGGACATAATAAAAACGCATCATAGTTACACTGTAACTGAACGTGAAACTCGTGAAGGCCCGACCCTCAGGGAGCTGACTGCACGATAATCCGGCGAGACCGTACAGGCACATATCGTATGCAGCGAAAAACGAATTAGCAAAATAGAAAACGCTGGTTAGGTTGCTTGTTTTGACATTCTACCTGATCGACAGCGTGTGTATCCTGAACAACCTTCACCGGTCAGTAACGTGACCAGCCAACTGAACTAGGTTTTCACCCTACGCACATTCACATAGTAGTAGCTCTTGCCTTCCTGCGTCTCTGTCTCAGGGATGCATATATTGGTCTCGTGTTTTCACTGCCTCGTTTATTTTCCACATTTCCAGCTTCAGCTACAGAGTCTAAAGCCTTTGAAGCGACCGCCGGTACGTCGGCGTGCGCCACCGGATGGGATTACCGGGGACACTGTCACCACTTCGGATGCGGAAAATATTCCACCACCCAAAACTAGTTCCCTATGGAAAATATCGCAACAGTTGTCAGATTTGCAGCAACAAATCTACTCAGTAATGGCTCATCCAAAAGTGGTGCTTCTTCCTCAACCCGTTGGTGCCAAACTGACCTCTCCCTCGTCTGGTGCCGGCGACAGTTCTGAGCAAGTCCCATCGACCACAGCTCCTTCTTCGTCAACACCTAGTGCTACCAGCCAGTTACTTAAGCAAACAGCCTATCTTGTTCAATTAAAGGATGAACTGGAACAGGTGAGTTGTGGCCGAGCGAATTGCACCTCTAATTTGAAAAAAAAATCGCCAAAATCTTCTCTCTGATGCTTAACTTAGTGACCAAACGCTCCCTCCTAACAGCTTTTACAAACCAATCAGTTTAGCTCATGGTTGTGGAATACTACCCAGTGAACTAAGAAGAAGATGGCTGGTCATTGAGTTACCTCGGTCAGGTGACCACGGTGAACTCCATAAAAGATACCGAGACCCGGGTCTGCCTGGTTACAGATTCGATGACCGCCCTGTCCTCATGATCAGAACGAATCAAAATCGCAACTCATGCTCATAGGTGGTTATTACGGTTAGCCGAACCAGTTTGGCGGCGCTTCGTGAGACAATAGGTTTCTTATCGCCTCTGAATGTGGTTTCCTTATGTAATCCACGGGTCCATCATATTTCCTGCTAAATATGCCTCCACTCGAACGACGCCTGGACCGGACCTCACATCAGTGGGTCGCAAAATTTGTGTGTTACCCCTCTGCCTTGCGCGTCAGATTGTCGAATAAAGGTTCTGGGGGAAACCCAAAGTCAACCCCTTCTCTGATCTGGACAAACTGGACTTATCATACTTTCACAGAAATGACCGTGCAATTCTAAAGCGGCACCGTTCGTTCTCCCGAAAGTTGACTAAATCAACGCTTCCTTTTAATCCACACTCTGCTTTTATAACCACTGGGGAAAGTATGTACGGTCGCCAATCTACATACCCCTTGATCTCTCTCTCTCTACCTTGCTCAACTCCCGAAACCAATTCATGCTAATGTCTCGGATTGTTCTTATTCCCCGACAGCTTGAATTATCTCATAGTGGATATTAATTGTTTCCCAGAACCCACCTGTATGATTTTAGCTTAGTCTGAATTCTCGGTGGACAACAAATTAAACGAAATATCAATTAAGTTGTTCTGATTACTTGACTGTATAACAAGTAGATCCGAAACGTGCCAGAATAACTTGCACCCAATGTGAGGGTTGGCCTACGTGCCCACTAATCACAGCTCTGAAACATTCAGGGATGAATTTTGAGCTCAACTTTTACAACCTCTTCGACGAGCTCCAGGACCCAATGTTATTTCATCAGTCTGGGGTCAGAAGGCATAAATCAACCGTTTGAGCTCAGAATATTCTCACCTCGGCAACCGCCATGATTTAGCTGGAGCTCGAAATAACAAGAACAACTGGCTCTTAAATCTGTATGTAAGGCCAACTGACTATGCCTGGGCGGCGCTAGCCTCAGACGTCGTGAGTTTTTACTAATGAACATCTTAGCTTACTTGACTCGGAGGAAAGTGTGTAGGCGTAAAACGACGTAGAAACTACCGCAACGGAATTTTACGATCACTAGTTCACAAAGCGGTTCACTGCTCATTCGGTCCGATCAGCCAATCCACAAACCCCGCAGTTGAATTATGACAAACGGCCGCCTATGTTGCACGGTCACTCTGCCCGTTAAAGTCCGGTTCACGAGCAACATTTTACGAAGTCATCAACTGTCTGACACAGAAGAGGTCTCAGTCTTCCATGACACGAGTCTTAGAGAACGTGCAATCGAAAAGCAATTGAAACTATCTAGAAAAACCGTAAGGCATCTCTGCAGATTGGAAGTGTTACCAATATAAGGGAAGCTAATGGGTATCCTGCAGTTTTTTTCCGAAGCAAGGCAAACAGTAATCCCTCTGGCTTCACAGTAAACAATAACGTGTGTTACCAGTATGTTTACCAGGAAAGTGCCAACAGTGTTCAACTATGCAGCATATCTGATGTGTGCTGTGCTCACAAGCGTCAGATTCAATGCCGATCATCTTGGTGGAAACTCAAGTCTCCTGCAATCGTCAACAAATTTATTTTATCCTCATTGACGAGTAATTTACTTTANTACTTTATGTGTTCCCTACAGTGGCTGCTGCAAGTATCGTGGGACTACCTTATCTGAACTGCTCAAATTAATACGGATTTTTCAACCTCGCCAATCTATGAGGGACTTGTGCCACCTTAGTTCTCCTTACGATTTTATGTGCAATTTTGTGTACTCTTTCCTGAACTGCCCCTGTTATGTTTTTTTGGCCTGCTTGTTTCCTCAAACAATACCTTTCACCAGTTTCCCGTACAAGTCTCCATTTCCATTGCTCCCATATCGCATGTTAACTGCTCACTTTTATGCCCATGTGCAGTTAAATTCACGTTTATCCAATAGCATATCACATCCCCTGTACTTATGTCTCTCATCAGCGATATATTGCGGTCAAATTAGGTGTGCTCTCAAAAAATTCAGTTTTTCCGTTTTGAATCGTTACCTCACTAAATCTAAAGCTTGGAAAGAAAGGAAAGCATTCAGCTGTAGCACCCTTCCAGTGCCTAGCTGCCATGTCACCCGAAGGAAGCACGAGGGCTGGGATACTGCCAGGTTGCCCAGGCGTAGACAGGGAAAGTTGAGAGGCGGAGGTCGGATTCGAAACATGGACCTTCCGGTCAGTAAATTCGCGCTCTAACCACTTGGGCCATCTAAAGCTTGGGACCTGATTTCACTTGTTCTTCAGGTAAAGGCCATTTTTATGCGCTCTTGTCTTTCACTTGTTTATCGTTAACCAATTTTGTGACGAGAATACATCGATATTCTGTCGAACAAACAAGACGCATCCATACCTGCATGGGGGATGCTTCGACAAGGGGGCAGAGGGCTACACAGATCTTATCCCAGAAGGAGCCGGCTTCTGTTCCCTGATATCGGTGTATTAGAGTGGCTGGCTTTCGATCTTATTGGGATTTATGGAATATTTCAGTTCACCATGCGAACGTAAATACTAACATCTATGAATTCAGAACGGGAATTTGAAAACATTGACCAAGGTATTGTCCAGACACTTCAAAAGATGCCAACAACAAGAGGTATACTATCACTCGTTCAGTTTTTTTGCAAATTATTTGATTTCAGTAATATCCGCTAACCTACAAACCTCTTCTCTGGCCGCCACCTTCACCTATCTACCGATTTTACTTCATTTAGCGGCATGGGACCATAAATATTGTAAAATACAAGGTCAATTGTATAGTTTGGTCGCGCACCGTATTTTTAATACTTGTGCGCGTGTATTGGTTTCACTTAGGGTATAACATCCAATACTACGTTAAGGATTAGGTCGTTGCAACTGGTGGATATCTGCTGAGTGTGCACGCGCACAAATCGTTTATATATACCGTTGGTCTTGTGGCCGAAAATTGGTCTGCTTGGTTTGTAGACAGTTTTATTTATATTGTTATTGCTTTTAATGTTATTCCTCCATCCAAAATGCGAAACCATGTCCGAATTACTGTGGTCGTCACAATGCGATAAAAACGTACACTCAGTATTTACCTGAATTTTTCAATTGCGTTTCCGTTTCAGCTGCAGCGTAAAGCCAACGAAGCGATGAAAGTGGAACTACCACAGGGCTTTATCCGTGGTGACTTTACTAGTTTTCCGTCGTCACGTCTGCAGGAAATTCTCACCCCCGCAGAGCCGTCTGAAACGGATAAACTTGTGTCACGACTAATTCTACCCCGCCATGATGAGTCGAGCCCCGCGGTTGTCAAGCTTTCGTTATCATCGTCACAAATAAGGTCTATGCACGCTCATCTGCTTTCAATGCATTGACTCCATTGACACAATATATCTGTCGTCCGTGGGCTGCAACAACGCAGCCGCATACATGACCTAACCCAACTCACTACGTTCGATCCACTGACCGTTTTCTTTCAACCTCAGTTCACCGTGTCAGACGTACTTATCATATTGACCGTGTTTTATCGGTGGTGTTTCCTTCGATATTATAACAATTCTTCTCAGTTAGTTGGTACTAGTTTCATTGACCTGGTTTGCTAACTCTGGAAACTGCTTTTATCAATAGTTTATTCACTGAGGGTCATTTAGAGATTTCCAACCGGAATTAAGGGTACCGCTGATCAGGTGTCTTGTGTCTCGACAGCACCAATCGCACGCTCAATATATACAGTTGTTTCACTCACGGTAGGAATCATGCTTATGAATGCGCTTATGGCTGAGAGCGCTTCGCACAAGTTAGCTATGCTAATGCACCCGCTGGCCATGAACCACAAACATCGAATGGTTTTACCCGACTAGGTACGCATACAACTCGTCAGTGCGACTGTGCGCACCCAAGCAACACGCTTGTGCGCCAAGGGAACTCGATGAGCAATGTTTGTGTTTTGAGAAGAATGCAGTGCCAATGGCGAAGATAAAATGGCACGAATGGTGGCTTAGGATGATTTGGGGAGTTTAGACACCTCATGTACCCGTCCCCTTATAATGGTCCATCATATTTGAAGGTAAGCCTAATCAAAGGCACTCTATACCAGATAATCGTAATGAAAAGACTGGACCTTACCGTGGTTGACGGTTTGCGCACCTCAACGACCCATTGAGCTATACTGGAGGCACTTCCTCGCGATACTCAGTGTCTCATACCAGGCTGGTCAATGGTTAGAGGTCTGATGAGCTCAGTCTCCTGGTCCTCCAGGTTGGGAGCTGGAACATGTGGCGACTTGTTCCGTAGAAATGGCAATGCACTTGCATTTCCCGCCAAACACCGCCGCTTTGCGGCTAGGCTTTTGATCCAAATGTTTTGGTTGAGGAAACTAATCGTCCTCCTGTCTAGGTTTGGGCGCCCTGACAGTATCCCAGCCCGCGTACAAGCATGACATGAACTGCTACAAATAAACTCATGCCACATCGGCCGTCTCATGATGCCATCAGCCGGGTCGCCTTGCCCGCTGCATACAGCGGTAAACGAAAACAGGCTACTGCTTTCGCTCCCTTCGTTCTTCATGGTTATACGGCAGCGAAGTATCGGTGTTAAACACTGATGTTATGTTGTCGATGATGATGTACCAAATAATGTGTCAGTGAAGTGTACTTCCGTTACGCTAGGCAGACTATAGATATTTAACAGATACATCCTCCGAAATGAGCTATGCAGTTCGCGGAATAGATTTAGCCGTCGTGGGGAGGTTACGAAGTGCAAATACATGAGATGTAGTTCAAAGGTTCTAAACTAACATCTGCACCCCGATTGTTCCTGTCCAGACTTGGATAACCTGGAAGTATTTCGGCCGTCGCGCTTCCTTCTGGTGGCATGGCAGCCAGGCATTGGGTGTCACAGCTGGACGAATATTATTTATTATGCGTAGTGCCAGTTGCCTGACCCATGTCCCAAGGTGCTGAGTATCCAACTCTTCTATCAGGTTTGAGCTGTAAGATTTGATCGTCACCTGCAAACACCAGACTCCCTTTGTCGACCGCTGTTTTAACATTGGCTCATGGTTGAGATATCGGTAGCACAAACAGCCCAGCATTGACTCGTTCTTACATGCCCACTTCCGGCAAAATACTCCCAAATTGGATGCTGAGGACTAAAACAAGTGTAGGGCCTAATTACAAAGTCATCGAAATTCCGAAGCCCAAGCCTAACTAAAAATTGTGCGCTACAAGAATCTGCCGCCTTGACGTGGTAGTCTGACCTGAGCATCCTAATGATCCCGTGGGCTAAACTGGCTGGACTTCATTTCTCCGAGCTTCAAGAATTCCAGAAAGACTAGCACTCGCTAGAGGCGGAACCCTCAAAACCCAGCAGTGTCCCGTACGGATGTTGGATGCACTGGTCATATTTTTACCTCTTGAACACCGTCACACATAGGTCAACAATTATGGTCTAAAAGCAACGATCAACTGCGCTGCGTTGTATCGACGTATCTCCTGCAGAGATGGATCGAACATTTTCGTCGCACTTCACCTACGGGTGCGTGAATGCCAGCGGAGAATATTCTGAGTTCATTGCCAAGTATTAGTTCTGATTTTAGTGCAACGGTTGGGGTCAGTACACGAATTTGCAAGGCCGGGGTCGCGTTTGCTAATTTGAGATACCTCTGGCATCAAAGTGGTGTATCCCTGGATCTCAGATTACGTGTGTAGCAGGCTACAGTGGAGCCATATTGTTGTATGGCTGAGACTTAGCCTGTTCGAGCAGTGGAACTGAGACATCTTCAGGTATTCGGTTATCGTTGTCTCAGAACCATAGCTCGTGTGGGTTGGTGTCGGCGTATCCATAACGAAACAATTAGAAAGCGGGTTTTCGGTTGTGTAACGGGTACTTCCATCGAAGAATGTGTCCAGCACCAGGTGAGTTGGTTGGGACATGTTGCGCATACCTAACCCTCGTCTGCCGAAGAGAATGCTGTTTCCCGTGCCCAATTCAGAGTGGCGGAAGCAGAGAGGTAGCCAACCCCTGACTTGAAAGAGGGGTATGAAGGAGATTACGAGAGGTTTGGGTGCTTTTGGTGCTACTCGCCTTGCAGAATGGTGACCGCATGATCCCCACTTTGTCTGGTTGGAGTCCCTGTGAGATACGACTGCTAATCGATGTCAGTGTCGTTCTTGTCGGTTTCTATCCAGATTGCCTGAATGAGTTCTGGAGGTGTAGGCACCTCGAAATGATTGTAGTAAGCTGGCACTAAGTCCCATCCACATCCTTTTCTTCACGATAAAGCTTACAAATGAATCATGGGTGTGCGGCAGAGAAGCATCAGTGCTGAACACTGATGTAGGTGTTCGGCAGAGAAGCACCAGTGCTGAACACTGATGTCATGCAGTCGATGGTGATGATGATGCCTATTTCACGTAACTAATGACAATGTTGTGTCCCTTCCTTTATTCCTCGTCATTAAGCTACCGTCCTTTTAGTTTGTCCTATCTCTGTGAGGCGTGGCGACCCGAACCTTGGACTGGTGGAGAACTTCGCGCATCTTGTCACATGGTGGGTGGTAATTTGCTTCCTAGCGTCTCTTCTGTAAACGATAAGACGAACGTACGCCTTGAAGTCAAGATGTTCGGACACTGAGAAGGCCCCTGATTTGTCTATGCTCTGAGCTAGTTCGCGCTCCAGTTCAGAATCGATAGTGTCACACCCGTTTCCTGTGTTGCAGCCAAGTTCATGTGCCTTCAGATGCCTTCTGCACAGAATTCGCTTAGGGAGCTGATTTCGCTCGCAACACTGATTTGAAAAAAGTAATTCTCTCCGCTAGTTTTGTGTCATGCTTCAGTTGCTTTTAAAGTTCCTTTAGAACGCATCAGTCTCTAGATTGCTTCAAGCGACCGAGGATGCCCACTGGACAGGACGAAGCCTGTTTTCTCTCATTGGTCATATTGGCTAATACATTAAAAATGTATATGAAACTAGTCAGAAACCACGCATGACTAGGTCACTCCACGTGCAAAAGGGAAGGGCGCAGGGGTCAATATGTCACTGACGAACCGATTGTGCCCAGGGTTCACCCAGTCAAACTGACCACATCACAATCAGACTCCGTCGGGCAACGGGAATACCTCGCAGGCCAACAGAACCCTTTCTTGGAAACAGAGTTCTGGTTAAGTAACCGGCTTCCAGTAGCGTCGGTGTGAGTGTGTACCTCACTTCCACCCACAGCTCTGCTCAACAAATGGCGCTTATTTTCAGGTCGGTCATTGAGGATAATAATACTACCAGAGCCCCCGGTTCTTGAACGCCACTTCCTCCCACAATGATCTTAGAAATCAGCGGTAATCGGAAATCTATATTGTTTTCGCGCGGACACTGGTCTTGATTGTGCGAACACTGACTAGGCAGTTCCAAACGTCCAATGAATTGCACAACAAATACAAAATGCCGATGTGGCAATAATCTGCATCAGAATTAAGCTGGCACCATGGAGGACCGTCTGTATCGTTCAGCAGCCTCGACCGGTTCACTGGCTTCAGTGATGCCTCTTCCAACAATCAGGATCACATTCTCCGAACCAGAGGTAGCGAACCTCTTCAATATTTCCGCAGGACTGTTGTAGCTTTGACTCAGCTGATCACCAGTGGCGTCCACGTGCACACCTACAAAAGGCAGAATGTAAGGTAAGTGCGTTGGGGGAAAGTGTTCAAAATAATGTGTCCACATAAAAAAAAACACCACACTGTAAGGAGGAAGTCAGTTCACCAACCCATTCAGCCTAAGCGAAGGGGGTCTGGAATAAATGGAGTGACTCAGATGTATGGGAGGTGAATGATACAAATCATCCAGTTGTGCAAAACGCCAGGGTTGGGCTCGAACAGTGGACCTACCGGTTGGCAGCTTCGCGCCTTAACCGCTGAGCTATCTTGAGCGACGGATTCATAGGACGAATGCAGCTGTCTCTATATCCACTTCATGAACCGGAGTAAAGCCGAGCACTGTAAATCAGCTAACCGTTGTACAACATATATGATCTTGTTATGAAAGTTACGTCACCCTGTACCGAAAAGCCGAAGTCCATTGTACAGTCGTTTCACCTTTGTTTGAAATCATCGACATCATAAGCGCAGTATACTTCCTCATGAGTTGTTAACGGTAGTATGACGGGTAAGTGCGAACTAATCCCACTGCTGGCTAAACTTTGCGCTTTCAGGCGGATTCGAATCTCCCAAGGGTTTCGTGAGATGCGATCCGCTGATCATTCCAAACAAGGGTGAAATGGCTGTACGGTGCTTTTCGGCCTGCATGACTCAATCTAGCGAAATTTTCAGATTCCCCATAACATCAGAATACGGCGTATTTGTTGGAGTTATTGGGTTATTTGTTCGTTTAACCATTCAATATTGGCTGAAGGATTCCCCATAGTACATAACCACAGCAGAACCTCCCGCGGCGCCACAAATATACAGGCCGCAAAACAGTATGGTTAAAGAAAGCACCTACCTGGCACCCAGTAGAAAAGGGAACGGTTAGCAGCGAATAGGGCCTCTGAACCGGGTAGAGGGTGCTGACATACGAAACCAGCCAGTATGTCCGTATATTCTTGACACATTGCTAAACAATTTCGACTGTAAGAAGCGTCCAAGAGGTTACCCTAGAAAGAAATGAGTGCGACAAGAAAAAGGGTTACAAAGCCCGAAAGATATCATAAGCTTATGTAGTCTAGGTGGCACAAAAACGAATAGCTCTGAATGTTGTCATTTTCCACCACCCATGACAAGACTCCTATGGAGGCATGGATTATAGTCAAGACCCCGAGAAGAACTGCTGCAGTAACCCACGCAGAGTTTTGTATAAAATGAACGTAATATAGTGGTAAAAGTTTAGCCCAAAAGCTCACCCGTACGTGTGGCCCTTCTAACACTGGTTGAGTCCGGCATGACGCCGTGAGATTACGAAGTTTCTTCGCATTATAAGTGAAGTCCCCTGTCTAGGAGTGGATCTGACTGGAGACAGACTCCCATCCTGACCCAGAGGCGATGAAATAAGCAGTTTGATCCGGAATGGCCGATATTATGACCAATCAGAGCGTGCTTACTTGCGATCTGTAGGCGGTTCGATGAACGATATTTAACGAAAGACATGAGACATTTAATTTTTCGGAGTAGCTGCCCTTCATAATGTGCGTTTTTACGCCCTTAGGAATGCATGCAGTAAACTAAATTTCTCTGGAGAAGACACTATGTGATTATAGAAAAATCAACTGACTGAAAGACAGGTTCTTGCTTGCTGATAGATGATCGGGCAATGGATCGATGGTAGGATGCTCGTATTTCGTACGAAAAGCCCAATGCTAAAAAATAAGTGGGAAGAATGTTGTCCACGCTATGCCTACTGATAAGGGAGATTCATCTTCAAACTCCTTGAGTGTTGACGAACGATGAGGGAAAGTCCATGGAGAATGGCACCGACGTGATATACATTCATGATACACTTATATCGCCATCAAAATTACGGAGGCACTCCATATCCCCCTCGTTCGTTCACTGTCGCTAAATCACTAGCCCAAGATAAGTGGACTCAAATTAAGTGGTCATTTAACATTGGTTCCTCCATTTTGTCGGACTACTTAACGCGAGGATCTGATCAGGCTAAGGACCTACACCCAAATTAGGGTAAATTGTGAGTGATTGGCAAGCTAATTGAATTTGCCGGTTAACAGTTCTTAGATCACTGTATGCCTACGTATAGTAGGAGCGTTATGAACGGTTTAGGCTAAGCTGGATACGACGTTGCATGTAAGCCCTTAGCGCAGATACGGACAGGTGAGTTAATTCTATTGCTAGAAGAACAAAATGCCTCTGACTTGACTTCCCAAGCCCGCATATTAGCCTTCAACATAAAACTAGGATAGACAGACGAGATAAGTGGACTCAAATTAAGTGGTCATTTAACATTGGTTCCTCCATTTTGTCGGACTACTTAACGCGAGGATCTGATCAGGCTAAGGACCTACACCCAAATTAGGGTAAATTGTGAGTGATTGGCAAGCTAATTGAATTTGCCGGTTAACAGTTCTTAGATCACTGTATGCCTACGTATAGTAGGAGCGTTATGAACGGTTTAGGCTAAGCTGGATACGACGTTGCATGTAAGCCCTTAGCGCAGATACGGACAGGTGAGTTAATTCTATTGCTAGAAGAACAAAATGCCTCTGACTTGACTTCCCAAGCCCGCATATTAGCCTTCAACATAAAACTAGGATAGACGGTTACGGGACATGATATAATAATAATAATAATAGTAAATAATAATAATAATTAATAATAATAATAATAAGCTAGCATTTCAACACGCCAACCACTTTCCGACAAGATCACATTTCTGTGACTCAAAGCGAATATGCTCAACAGTTGAATTAACGCATCAGGAAGTTCCTGCTTCAGGGCTTCAGGCATGATGAGAAGTTGTTTATCGCCACCTGCATCAGTTATGGAAACTCACGAGGAAAACTACTTCAAACTTTAGTGTTTTCTTGTTCCTATAAAAGGACCTAATACTTATATACAACACGGTCACTGTAATAGACATTTTATTTGAAGTACACATTTGACGTCCCGTTGACAGTTTGAGATAACTGAGAGTACGCCACAGCTTCCTGAATCCATGTCCTTGTGACGCGGTCAATCCACAGTGGTGAAATTTTATGCAGCTCGCCAATGCAAGCTCCGTAGTTATGTTTCGGTGTTCTATTTAAACGTCTAACTACCGCAAAAGGTGCGGTTTCTCATTCATTCGAAAGCCTAATTCATCTCTCCTTCGGGCTCTCAGTGGTTAGGGCGTGAATTTATTGGCCGGAAGGTCCGTGATGCGAACCCGACCTCTGCCTCTCAACTTCCCCTGTCTAGGCTTGAGCAACCTGGCAGTATCCCAGCCCTCATGCTTCCTTCGAGTGGCATGGCAGCTAGGCACCGAGAGGATGTTAGAGCTGGATGATTTTTTCACTCAACTCAATCTGTCCTACTTCTGACCTACTGTTTTTCGACCTCGTAAATAATATTTGCCCTGATTTGTCAGTAACACGGATCGAATGAAAGTTTAATCTTCCTAGATGTTCTAATGACTCGACGTGCGAAAGAGACATTGCGAAGCAACAGCCACCGTCAAGCTACATGGAGTGGCTAATAAATACACTCCAGTAGCTTCCCGTCTAGTGCTTATATACTACGTCACAGCGAGAGAAGCTTAGCACAAGTGACTATGGCAGAACCAGATACTGGTCACAAGCGGTCATCTAAACAGGTTCATCACCTTCCACAATAAACCGAACACGACCTCTGACATAATTAGCATAGCTTAACAAAACTAACTGTGCGATCACATTGCCAACTACGTAACCCGAACATACAAATCCGCCCTAAATGTTAGTTCTCCGGCTGCTGAGTTCTCTGCAGATGGCCCGTGTTTTTGTGTAAGCCCAAAAGTGTGGCATATCATTCCCGCACATGCAATTCATCAATTGACTTTCAGTTGCGGAGAGGCATACACAGGTTGAACGAACCGGTGCCTTTCGGAACGAATTTCGAAGCATAAATAAGGAAGTTGCTACCGCCCATGTGGTTAGCAGATAACATCCTGGTAACGACGAGGTAACTGGGAATCATCAATTAGGCGACGCGTCCACTATATCACACACAACAGCAAAGAGAAGATCCACATGCAAGCTTAGAGTTTTCGGCATACGACAAGTCCAATGAACAGCCTAGGTATGCGGTTGGCTAATGGAGCATCCATACAATTCTAGCTTTGATTGTGAGAGCCATGAGGAAGCCAGCGTTGAGTTGTTTAGCTATCTAGATTAGGTGGAGAGTGGAGTTTGAAGCCAAAGTTGAGATCTAAATTGCAGAGGGGACATGCAGCGGGCATGCATCATCACAAGAAAATATGCAACATATGTTATCAAGGTCATAGGTGTAAAGTGACCCCACGGTATGCACCGTGGGGTACATAGTAGCACGAGGTATAAGGGAGACATACATACAGTTAGAACCGTCGCAAAAGCATCCGAATTTTCATAAACAACTTACGCACTACACTAACCTACATTTTAAGTAAACATACCTGGTTATAGAGCACCTGTATACTGTCCGGAAGATGGAGTCTTAGTGTATTTCTATAGATATGTCTGCAGTTCAATGGGACTTTCACAATTAAAGTTTGAGTGACTTCGTTTTCCTGAAAAAAGCACGTCAAATTGTACTCTTCTCGAGCTTCTAAAGTCTGTTAAGATGCCATTTCGTAGGATTGGAATAGCTCAGTGCGTATCTTTGTTGTTTCTCGAAGAACCCACCAAGAAGGCGTACGGTATACAAAAGTATCAAAAAGTATTGGTCAAAGAGCGTGCGTGCGCTGGCCAACAATGGCTATTAGGCTGTGTTCTATCGATTAGAAATAAGTGAGGTGCATACGCAAGTTATTACCTTGCACAACCCTTACCTGAGAGCTCATTTGAGCGACTAGTAGCGCCCTAAACTCCCGATTATGTCCGTGCTCTGCGATTTCCTCGTTGATTTGACGCAAAGTTTGGAACACTCCCGGACCAGCAAGACAATGAACAGTGACCAGATCACACCACGTTGAAATTTTGTAGACGCCGCCTTTCAACTGGTGCATCACTGTTTGCCCAATGTCCGCCAACTTTCTAAAAGTAAATGAAAGAAGTTTGCGAGGACGGAGTGGTTGTTCAAGACGAGGTATACAATGGTCCCCTGATTACATTCGTTTTGGGTCTGGCGAGAAAAGCATCGATTCACAAGCAGGTAAAGAATACAAAAGTTGGGCAGCTAATGGCAACCAAAGATGAATCCTGACAGTAACGCCACTGAGTCACGCCGGCCAGAATGCGACCTGAATCGCAGTTAAGTTGTGAGCCTGAAAAAACCTGTGTAGTGGTTGGGTGAGAGCTGAGATACCGCCGCACAATGGGTGACACACCGCCTGTCTCTTAACAGAAGTGAATGGTAACCATAATCGCTGTCTTCGTTACGATGCTTCAACGAGTGATTTGCAACAGAAAACTGCCCAGCTGAAACGCCTTCAGATTGCAGAATCTGAAGTGGTTTATTAGGCCCGGATGCTTGTATGACATCGTTAACTTAAAAGAGCATTGTGAACAGAAGAGTGCCCAATGTACAGCACATATGTCAATAAGATAGACTTACCGATCTTCAACAATGAGAAATCCATGCTGGACAGCAAGTCGACGCAACCCAGTGATGATACGTTCCACGTTGTTGTCGAAATGCAACATGTCCAGATGTAACTTGATTGCGCACACCTTCGGCCCAACTTGATCCGCCAATTTCAACAGTTGTTCCGGATCCACAGTGTCTATCGCAACACAGAGACGTGAGGATTTTTGGGCTACTAACTGCTCCAAGGAAGGTTGCTTCGCAGCTAAATATGTGACATCGGATAGATGAGGAGCATGATCCTTGAGAAGTGAGAGAATACAGATGATCATCCTTTACGTCTTCGCCGGTGGAACAAGACGAAGACAAGAGAGCGATATCAAGAGGCCCATGAGTATCAAGTCTGGGTCATACAAATGCAATCCAGAACCGAGGGCCCCAGGCAATAATGACGGAAGTGATTTTATTTAGTACCGAACAACAAAATCGAAATACGGACACTCATATATTCAAGATAGTACAGATATCTGTTTGTGGAAATCAGCCCTCGAGACGGATCGCATCTGGATAGTCCTTCAGGGCATCGTCCAACCAGATACTGATGATCGATAATGAAGACAGCCGAAGCGGGTCAAACGAATGTAACTAGTCAGAGGACGGGGGTGAGTGAAGCAGAATTTAGGCGACTTTGGATGGACCTCCTGTCTAATTGATATCCATCGATATTCTTCCCATGCCTAATCAACAGCATTCAACAACGTGCGGATCCCCACAGCGGTTCTCCGTTATCACCGGCGGGCACGGACGTGTACATTAGCGTACTACACGGGATCGGCGACCGGTATCCCGCAACTTCGACCAGCCAAAAGACCTGCTACATTAGGTATGACAATGATAACTTTAACACTCGAGGGGCAAGAATAGCGGCTTAATTGGAGCACGCATATATCCAGCATAAGCAAAACCTAGTTGAGTAATTTCAGGTGAAACTTGCCAGAACGCTAGCACAAAATTTTCCATTCAGGCAACTTGAACAAAACGGGTGACTCCCATCGGGAAGAAAGTGAGTTTCGTTTTGATGCTGATGCTGGTGTGACGTTTGAACTCTGGTTTCAGAATAATAAGAAGATCTAGTTCGTGCGAAGGTGGTAGCACGAAATGGGTGACAAGAGGGTTAGGCAGCTTATGCTAAAGCTTGGTACAGCAAAATATAAAGGATTCATGACTACTGACTTGTAAAAGTATCCAGAAACTTGAACTACAAGGAGCCCATAAAGCTCGCGGTGAGCAACCCTGATTGTTTGCTATCTACGCTTGAGGATGACTGATAATAACAACAATTACAAGGTCGCTTATGCCGGTGGTGTCAACCGTGAGTGTAAACTTCTCAAACTTGACAGTTTGACTGACGATCAGTTCAAATGGGGGGGTATATGTTAAGTGCCTGAAGTCGACTCAAAATACAGATACCCGGACAATCACAATGAACGAAACTGAGCAGACACCAGGTAGTATTCTTTAGATTGTCACACCAGTGATACGGTAGTCCGCATCTACCATTACTTATGGTGCAGTTAATAGAGGAAACGCGCCCAAGAAGATGCACCAATAAATTCGAAACCGCTTACCATTTGCTGGTAGTTCGTCGGCAACGGCATCTAGACAAACCGCTTACGCAAAAAGTGACAGGAAAAGTCAAAAAGAAGAAAGTTGCCGATCACAGTAAGACAACAGAACCTTGGTGGACGTCCAATGCCACATCTTTGCGTTGCTCAGAGGCGATTATTGCAACGTTCAGAATTGCTTAGGTATCAAAAGGCAAATAGGGGGAGCTTGAAACCATAGGTTTGCGTGTCCACCTAAAACTTAGCATATCCTCTGATACTGCACTAATCTCCCAAACAGCGTGAATTAAAGACTCGCTTACCTACCCCATTTTCAAGAAAATACACTATTCAAAAGGCATCCGGCGGAACCCTACAAATTACTAGTGAAGTAACTTGGACACATAAATCGAAGCACCAAGTAAAGGATAAAAGGCAAAGCAAGTGAAAATTTCCGTGCTTAGTTTCTCTGTGAAGGGTTTTAGTCGATAAAGGTGATACCAAAGACAGGGCTTCAAAAGTACCAATCAGAAGATTAACGTAAAACCACGCAGGAATCCTGTGAGCCTTTGATTAGGGCTTTATTTCCTAAACAAGAGCGAATGACATCGAATACTGCCTTTAATTCTCGGCCAGGAAATGTTATATAGAAACTTCCGGTAAAAACACAAATATATGGGTGGTTGATCGGATGGCAGTTGATCTGTCCACCGAGCTTGGTAATTGGCTTGCAAACGTTTCGTCCCCAGTCGAGGAGACATCGTCAGTGCGCACTGACGATGCCAGTGCAGTGAGTACTGCCACTGTGAGATACATCGTGACAACTAGTGACAGACGTCAAGCTGCTAGCTTTTCGAGGATTAAAAACGATAACTGCAGAAAATGTCTACTGGTGCGCCATCTGTCGGCTGGCTGGCTGTTGTTGGGGTTCAACGACAGGTACTAAACCTGTAACTGCAACTAGTACAAGGAATTCCACCACCCTCTCTTGGATTGTACATCGCTTATTCGAAGGAGCAACGCTATGGACAGAATGAGCTACAACAAACGCACTTCAGTTCCTTGTATTTCCCATAAACATCTATTATGTAATGTGAAAACTACGAGGAAAGCTAGTTTGTCAAACGGGAACAGACTATAGCCTTTCCGTTGGTTTTCAAACCGAGTGCTAATTTGTGCTGTAAACTTTACCACATTTTTATTGTAATAGTTTTCACCGCTGTCCAGATGCACGCATTTGCACTCGCACAGACAAGAATACACAATGTGATTATTGTCTGATGATCATTCAGTTCTGAAGTTGGTCTGTTGCATGTATTCTCGTACGTGCTCAGGAGCTCGAGAAAAGCCAGTGGCTATGGTGTGAGATTACCTGACCCGAAGATAAGTGGTTCGAACCCAACCCTAGGATCTCCCGTTTAGGGTTGGACAACCTGGCGTTAGTTTAGGCCTCTTGTCTCCCTCGGGTGACATGGCAACCAGGCACCTAAAGAGTGTTAGAGCTGAACTGTTTTTTATCGCGTCCACACGCGCAGACAAGAACCTCCAATGTGCACCTTGGTTGTTCGATCTTCACTCTGCTCTGAAATGAATAGCCATTTGATCCACTTTTTCATCGTCCTTTGTTGTAGATACTCTCCTAAGTACCACATGCAATAATCTTACCGTGACATACTGATTTAATGGAAAGAGAAACTATTCCGACGAGACTTCAGGTACCAAACATGCAGAGGGATTCCTTGTTACATGTGTTGTTTACTGAGAGTGATTGATATTTATCATTTTGAGTCTGACCACTTAATTACGCACGCCTGTTTTTTTTCATTATTTGGTTGCGTGAGTACGCAGGATTGGCAGCTTGGTCTTATGTCCATTACAAAGTGATTCACAAGGTACTAAACACAAATCGGTTATCGAAAGAACTAAGAGCAAATATAATACGCTCACTGTTTTTCTACAGAGGAAAATGTTGGTATCTCAGGTATCGTAGATGGTGGTCGTTGGCTTGTTCGCTGAGCTGAGCANAAACGTTTGCATCAAATGGCCCAGCCCAGCGAACAAGCCAACGACCAACATGCTCACTGGTCCACAGTGTTGTGGACTGCTGTGCATGTATTAGCTCACTCACTGCAGGCGCCGGAGTTGAACGGATGAATTCTGTGACACGTAGTTTATCCTGTTCCGTGATTCGACCTTCGGCATGGAGAATTTCCGTTAGTTCGCTCAGCCGGAACAGACTATGAAGGATACGTGGCGAAAAAACAGACAAAGTTGAGTGAAGACATCCGAAAAAGGAAACAGCATTCCGTAAGTCTAGGTAACAGACAGGATAACAGAAACATAGCTATCTTATAAACCCGATGGGCAGACACGCGATGAAACAGGCCCAACAACATCTAGAGAAAATTCACAACCCCCAACAGTTACCGGCGATAGTGCCTCACGGATAATAGACAGAACTGACACAGTGCTAGGCGCATGTGTAATATGGAACAGACTGTACTGAAGTTACCAAACAAATCACCCTCATATATGCCTGTTAGCAATGCGGCTGCAGTAATTACCAGAGTAATCATGCATGGTTGAATAAATGTGGCCGTCGAAACGTCGAAACATTACAACGCGTACTGGGGCGAATAGAGCAAACTGTCCCATCAATACGGCTTAAAATTGCTGCGATACGAAATGGTTATAATATCGCAGACAATATCATGGAAACATAACAGCGGCAATAACAGGTGATCCATCCACTAAGCCGTCACTTCAGAACTAGCAGACGGCGTTAAAGGCGGCCGCGGCCTTCCATACGACAAGTGTATTCGAATTACCATTTACGGCTTTCACCCGGGTTTCGCCCGTATGACTTCCGGTGTGGTCTACCAAAGAGAACTGGACGGTAGACCCATGGCAGATCCAGTCTAAGAGGACAAGTAATAGCACTTTCCAACACTACGTCATCTATCATACAAACGTAAGCACACAAGAGTAGACTAACTGGTTGTGGTACATAGATTTTTGAAGAAAAAACCTCGTTATTCGGGTCGGTGAGACAAGGAGGAAATTAACAGTACCTGTCAACTGATATACCGTACTTCGATTGTAAAATACCGACACCGCCTTGTTCACGGTCGACGAGAAGTAGGGCCCGAGAAACACAAATTCCCTCGCTTCGCAACAACTTAAAAAAGAGCACATGAGATGCGAAACAGGTTATTCGAAATGTATGATGTGTAATAGGAGACAGTTTTGGACTGAAATGTACTAAACGGGAAGCAAAATAGTGTAGCCAGTTTAAAAGCATGATATAGCGACAAGCGTGGAACAAATATTTCCAGATTCTTCGATGGTATTTCAGTATCAATGAGTGCCAAAAAACAAGAATGTAGCAAGCACAAAAATTCGATCTTCCGTTGGGAGGCACGTACGCTGGCAACTGACTCAGAAGGGCCTCCATAATGCTCTATATTGTGATGTCATATAAGGATAAGTAATCGTTAGTGTGCACTTTTGGTAAACGAGTGACGAGACACTCAAGTGTCTCTACGAAAGGATGAAATTAATCACCTTGGTATAGAGAAAATAGGTGCATCAGTAGATTTACAAACGACGGGACAGACTAACACACCAATGGAGCAAAAGATGGAAACCATCATCAGAAGGCATGGAGTAGAACTCGGGAGGCGTCAGGATCAGAAGTTACTCGTGTATCAACTAACAAGAAAGCATTACAACTACCAAATCAACAAACGTAATCAAGACTAGATAAGCAAACGTCATGCAGACAAATGTGAAACAAATAAGTGAATGGTCAGGGGTAATTACTCTAACTCGGCTGGAAATCAGAACTTTGAAACCAAAGTGCTGAGCATAGTAAATGAAAGAACAGAACGTTCAGACAACCTAGGCTGCCAGCATTCCGTTCAACAACCAAATAGTCATATTCAACCGCGGAGCAACAATACTTATAAATGTTTTGGCAACCCTAGTCGAATAAAAACTCATCGGCTGGGATGACGAGTGGATCTAATGTTCCTAACCCGAAGGAACCACAGCCAAATGATTGGTGATCAGCATCCATACTTCAGTGGAGTCGATACGGATAAACGCCAACCGACTCTTATGCAAATAATTTCAACTACCAATGAATCTGTCTAGTAGTAAGTCTTCGAAAAGAGAAATGGGCAAGTCAACCTACAGGCAAAGTGCTCCCAGAATGCAAATTAACATTTGGGTCAGGAAACTCGTGGGTGCACCGCGCAGCCCAATAAATACCAGAGGACGAAGACATCCAATATTACCCAAGTACTAACAGAATTGATCGAGCCTCATGTGATCGGAACAGCACGGTGGTTGTGAGGCTCACGGATCCAGTGCACTCCTGCTATCCCAATCTGGTATCAATTTAGCTCTGTTTGCATGCATCAAAAAACCGCAAAGAGTGTTTTTTGCCTCAGCATCGGTCTCTCGTACATCACCGCTTTAACGTAAAACGTCGCTAATTTGTGCGCCTATAGAGGCACATCACATCACCATTGACTAGAAACAACTGAAGACGCTGGGTTCATTCAATAGGTATTCCAAATGTCTGAACTTTAATGTATATGGTCTCTAATCCGATATGACCCAACGTAGAACCTCGACTTCCCGTTTTCTCAGTAAAAAAAACATCGACAAATACACGCAGTGAGTTCGCCTATAGACAACAACTCGCCAAGCATTCGGCCTTCACTATATGAAAGAGGAAGTCAGAACTTGATCTTCGGACTGAGAAATCACGTGTTATTCACCAATGCAATAAATGCGACTGTGACCCAGGAGAATCACGCACAATTGCTATTTATGGTAACTCTAACAATTTGGCAAGCCTCGGTTTACCTGTCCCTAATAACATCAGACGGTTAGTTGATACCTAACAATTGTACCAGCGCTTCCATAAGACCCATTGCGGAGTGTTTCTTGAAATGTCACAAAATTTCGACTGCTAGTTCACGCCGCGTCCGCATGGTAACCGCAAGGGGCCTAAGTTTTTCTAGAGCTGCTTCTCTATGTAAAGTTTTTCTGGCCGGGATCGCATTTAATGAAAGGAATGAAGATAGCAATAAGCCGACTATTTTCGGACTGGCATGGAATGCAGCGCAGGTAATTGATCATCTACTGAAATAATGACTGAAAGCACACGCACACAAACAGAACCATCACGTAAAAATACATGAGATCTGCGGCGGATGTAGCACGAACTCGTTGATGCGAAAGAAGATACAACCATTGGACTGCCAAACAAAAGCTCACAAGACTGAATCACTAAAAGATGCACCCCGTGCGCGTTTCGCACGGCAATGATCGTGTTCATCAATTGACCCGTTTTAATTTGTGTAAATTCACCTGTGCTCACAAATTTATTCGAAAAGAGCGTCCAGCATATGATACCGAGATATGGGGCCAATAACATGCTTCAGGTGACTCCGAACTCCATTCCATAAAAAACCGGGAAGAGCACTTTGAGACATTCGTAATGTAATGGATGCAACTGACCTCAGCAACAGCCGCCACACTAGCTCCCGATGTAACCACATCCTCGACGATCACGCAATGTTGTCCCACTTTCCAAACTCCTTCGACCATTTTCTTTGTCCCATACGTTTTGGCTTCTTTGCGGCAGATGACCATCGGGAGAGAAGTTATGACTGAAATGCACTGCACAGATTTAACGGAAGGCGGTGTAAGCAAGTTGTGACATCAGTGGATGAAAAAAGATTATAAAGGCAAAAACTAGTTTAACCTGGAGATTGTACAGGCGCCCTGATTCAACCATTCGAATTTCTCGTAGCATTGGACATGGGAACTGACTAACATCAGATCACACAAACAAAAGGCCACAAATTTTAAACATATCCAACAAGCGCAATAAAATAACATGGTAGTTGAAGTAGACTGACTAGTCCAAGAAGTCTTTGAATTTAGTAGCAGTTGGTTGGGATGTACCGTCCTAGCACTGCACGGTAAGCCAGTTTTTTTTTGCAGATTGCGGATGACTTCGTATGCTTTACAACCCAAATGCTCTTGCATCTAACAAAGTGCTGACTGCACAGAGTCCAGAATAAGTTCAAGTGTATCATCGTCAATCATGAAACTGCTGAAACAACTCAGTTCTAGACCACTTGATAGCCAAATTCCTTGTAACCTATATTCCCAAAGATAGGTCCTGATGCAAGAAGTGGTGATCCCAAAAAAGTGATTAGCCGCTAAACTATGCACGCTAGGCCTGCGCGATTCGATGCACGCAATCAGCCGCAGATGAAAACCACCGTGCAACAAAATTTCGTTACAGAAACACAAAGATTTCGATGAAAGTTTGCTACCCCGAAGGTTTCAACCTATTCATTGGGCGGGAGATTTAGGTAGCACAAATCTTTGCAACTGAAGTGTGGTCGATCTACGCCCTCGTTACCTATACTCGTACCGTCTGAAAACAAGACCAATGATGCACAACAGTTCGTGAGACTAGTGATTTTGAAGCGCCTCAACACGTGAATGTGACCGTAAGATTGAAGCGCTGCTCGTCATTTTCCTTACACGATTGAACTGATAGGCTGGCGTCAGCTGAGGACCTCGAAAGCATTAGTACACAAAAGGCTCTGAAAGTTAGCGCAATGGGAAATCGCGCGCATAAATGAAAATCAGATTGCCCAGAAGTCTTCTTTATTGTCCTCAGAGTATGCCAAGTTTCTTCAGTCTATCTGTGTGAACGGGAGACTAATTCAACTCTGAAAGGGGTCGAGTGTCACTGGACCACACTTTAGTAAAGCCCTATTAACATGAAAGGCATACCAGATATAAGGGCAAATGTATCCCGCTAATCTTTCAGGAAAGAACGTCTGGCTCAAATCCCCAAACGGTCAAAGAAATCGACGAAGACGGTGACGGAATTTGGGCTCACTAAATAAGTAAGAAAGCGACGACTCCGAAAAATTTCTTGTATTCCCTAGCTGAGTAGTTAGGAGCACGCGCTAACACGGTCAGGATTAACAGGTGTTCGAGGAGTGCACATCTGCTCGTAAGCTTGAAATGAAAAGCAAGTTCTCCTTCAACAGAGAACAGAAGCTGAACAACCAAGACAAAATCTCTATGCGGAAAGCTGAAGATCAGCCGAGTGAAGCACAGGAGGAGTATCTCGCCCATTTCTGAAGAAAAGAGTACCAGTGAAGTATCGTCAGAGTTTCAACGGGTAACTGATCTAATTTCGCAACAGTCACCACCCTATGTTCCACCTGTTTCATTTCTCAGACGTCAAAAGTCAGTACTTCTGAAACTATGTCCTGAAACAGACGTGCCATGAAGTGCAGTAAGTCTGGCACTCATAATGTATTGATTTCCCGAGGTTCAGTTGATGGCAATTTCAGTGAGCATCCTGAGGGGGGTCATCGTACTGATAAGACCCAGATGCGTTTAAGCACTGTTGATAGGACTCATACCAAAATAGCAATGATCAAATACGCCCACCAACAAAGTAATGTACAATTGCACAGGAAAGGCTATAACGCCAAACATGAAGGAACTACTTACTGTGGCTATGGGTAGTGCTGAATAGGGGACTCCACAAATCAGAGTTTGCTGTTCGATTTCCTTCTCGCTCAACCTTGAGGCTAAGGTCCTGGCAAGCCTTTGCTTGTTGGAGACAAAGTGAGAAAGATGTTAGGATGGTGAGTGAAGCGAGTCGACTTTAAATAATACCCCTGTTGTGCAAAGTAGGTATTGCAAATGTGTTTGGATTTTCGATTTAGGATACAGAGAGCTTATAGCTCCCATTTGAAACAGGTGAGTACTTCGCACAGCGTCGTCCCAACGGTTGTACCACCAACAAAGTTCTTGGGCTGGAAATAGCTCAGTGATTAAAAATTGTTGACCGAAAGGTCAGTGGTTCAAACCCGACCCGGATATCCAAACGCAACCTGGAAGCAGGTCAAGCCTCCAGGGTGGAATGAGACCTATGCACCGGAAGGATGATATGGCTGAACGACAAATTATTTACTATTGATAAAATTCGGAAAAGACTAAGAATCGCGAATAACGAACGCCGTAAATGAAAAAATGAAGTTGATTGAAACAGCAACCATTAACCTGTTGATTCATCTGGGTTCGCAGTCCCAAGCACTTGAGACGCCATCAATGGGAAATATGACGTTTACTTCCCTCCACACTAAAACTTTCGCCTCTCGTTGTATAGAATATTTTTCTGGATAACAACACAGCTAGTAGTTTACCACTAAGTTACCTAGAGCCGTTTTCTATTGACGTTGTTGGTTTCCCAATGCCTCACTATGAGTACACTGCCACCAATAACGTCCCACTGAAAAATACTAATGCATTACTTGGAGACATTATTTTATTTTCTCTTGTTCTTGAGCTCAGTTATATTTTATTTATTCATTCATTCACCCACGTATTGTTCACTAAGGAATACACCAGTTTTGAGTGAAAAGTGGATGGGTTTTTTCACCACACTGAACTCTGGAAAAGAGCAGTAAAGCAGGTCTGTAATATCATTGCAAGGGCATCCCTTTGTAAGTTGAACGCTTATAAAATTTTGGTTTCACTTCGGATAGCCACTCCTGTATATTTTATATTTTGAACAGTATTCATTCTATGGACGTCACACGCTATTCGTAATGTTCCTGAAAACTCTTGGGCAGCCCATGACCGGTTTCGCCCTTCTTGAGGCTCAGCAGCGGGGGCGCAGTCCTCAAATTCCCGTCAATTTTGTATTCTTCTTGAACCCACTCAGCTACATACCAAATTGTTTTTTTTTCACGGGAGACTCACCTGAATCCCTGCTGAATCCCACATTTATGATGTATTTGTCAAATTCCGTGCAATTTGGGTCCAAGGAGAATATGAGCTTGACGGAAACTCGAGGACTGTGCCCACTTGAGGAGGGCGAAACCAGTCATGGGCTGTCGAAGAGTTTTCAGCAGCTTTATGAATGGCATGTTACATCTACACAATGTATTACAATATCTCAAATCTCGTACCGACTGAGAATGAAGTTGTCCGGTGTAGAACATCTAGTCAAAGAACATCACGAACGAGGGATTCAGGTGGGATTCAGGTGAGTCTCTAGTGAAAATGAAATTGATATGCAGATGAGTGCGTTTGCCGAATATTCATTCTGATCTGCTACGAACGGTGAGAAAGAGTTCACCGAGAACGTGGTTTTTCTGAACGTACCGAATGTCTGATGTTAGAATGGGAAACCATGGAGCACACTTCATAAAAACTTAGGGAGTGATCGAATCCCCTCTTCAGCAGCTCTATTCAATGGCACATAAGTGAGATTTAGTAAAAATAGCCTTCTAAAAGAAAGTTCCAATGGATTATGAAACCCGACAGGCCACACGGTTGATCTTGAACATACAACACAAGGTGAAATGCAAAGTAACCGACCAATAACTTGTTGTAGGTTTTCGGGTATCCTCCGTATCTCTCAATTCTCTGCAATTACTGTGCAGTCACCAACTCGCGCAGTGAAAGTTCGTACATTGCCTCAGTTTTTTAACTGTGCTGAGATGATGCCATTTAGCTTCACCGCTCTAATTTAGCTGTGGACCTGATATAACGATTCAGATGTAGACCTGATGTTTCTGTTACGGAGTGTCTCTATAGGATTGACTTGATCCAAACCATTCTAGTGTTAATCTCAGTTGAGTTCATTGTGGTGCGCTTGTTACAAATTCTTGGTAAGTGGCATATGCTTTGTATTGAAAACAATAATTTTAAAGACGGAGACTGGTAACCGATTTGAAGGTGTCCTTGCAGGGATCTGAACCCGAGTGGTCGAACCGGAGGGCCGCCGTTTTAGTCACTGACGTATAAATTTCAGTTAGGATTAGTGCTAGTCAGTGTGCTCATAAATGCTATCCACTGACTACAAGGCTACAAAGTTGTACGAAATCTATTCGCCGCATCGCGGTGTAGGACAGGTCGTGAAATTCATAGCGAGCTCCTGGCAGACCTCAGGGGAAGCGGTAGCTTGAGCTTTGGGGTGTAGTAAATCGTACATACATGTGGTTCTTTCATCAGAAAACGGGCAGATATGCATTAGAGGAACAGCTTTATCGGTTCACTAGTAATGAATTTCCCTAATTATTTGAAGGAGAGAGAAGGCGGACACCTACCTATTGAAAATAATCTATAAGTGTGACTGAGCCATGTCTGTCGAAAACCTTGTTCGCGTTTGGAATCATCAGGTAAGGATCACAGTTATTTATATTAAGACGTCGCGTTCCATAGAACGGGTAGTCCCATCCAAGTAAAATGATAACGACGTAGGAAGGAGTGAACAAAAAAGTAAGGTCACAATAGCTTAACGGCCTCTTCCAGTTAACCAAAAAAACTGGATACAATAGCGGTCACAAGAATATAATATGAGAAGGAAGAAACTTACCACCAGCGCAGCAGAGGCAATTATCACACGTAAATCCACATAAACAGGCGAGAGAATCCCTGATTTCAGACGGAATTCCCCAAATTTGATAACGCCCATGTTATGAAACTCAACAGCCAGTTGGCGCTTTTCTTCGATAGACATGGTCGATGAGAGGACTAAAATAACAATAAAATGGGGAACAGAATCGTGCATAGTAGTTTGATTCAACGTAGCTAAGAAGGGTTTTTCATTTTGTGTATGTGAAGCCATTCAATCCCGATACAGGCGACCTTCATTCGTTCACTGTTTCGGATTTTTAACCCTATTGTATTAGAAACTCCAAGTGAAACCCGTGCAAATGCAGACCGACTAAGGATCTTAAAAGTATATTGCACTTTAACAACATAAAGTCAATGAATAACTACGCAACTCAACTCACTGACTGAACGATTTATTTGCGGAAGTTAGTGGCATGTGAAGAATCGTTCAGCTGTAGCACCCTTTCGGTGACTAGCTGCAATGCCACCAGGATGCACGGACTGGTTGCCCAAGCCTAGACAGGGAAAGTCGAGAGGCAGAGGTCGGGTTCGAACCACGGTCAGCAAATTCGTGCTCTAACCACTTGAGCCATCCTCTAGCCTTTTTAATAGTGCTGAACGATCTAATACAGCCGCTTTGGTTGAACCAGCACCTGAAGATGACAGTCTTCCAGAAATCCACTTCTTATCACTCCCGATGACGTACCTTTTCCCATTTAACCGCCCGCGTCCAAACCATCAACACTGAAAGTCGACCCCGCTACAACCAATTGTCGAGTTTATCAAATGTGGCTACATTCAACACCTCCTAGTTCTCACGTGTCTCTCTTCCCAACGTCATCTCCCGCTACACTATACATATCGACTCTGGCTCCATCCAACAGTCTCCGATTCTGTTCCTTCTTGGTTTGTCATTTGTAGCCATCTTTCCCGGTCGTCTCATGACAAACAGGTTGCGACTCGGACATCCGGAAAAGTTGGATTTTTACTCCTTTCCCCCAATCAATCATTCCTAATCTACAAATCTTATATTCGCCCCACCATGAAATACTGTTGTCATGCATGGGATAGGGTCTCATTGACATATCCTTCCTTCTTGGATCAAACGCAACGGAAAGTTGGGTTTCTCTGAGCTTCTCATACTATGACCGATAACTTTTAATCTCTTCTCCACCTTTACGAGTTAGCTGTCCCCCTGCTTACTTTACCGTTATTATTGTAGCAAATATTCTTCTAGACACGATGTGTTTCTGAGGTTTTTCTGTGTTTCGGTTATCCTTACAAGAGATTTCTGATCTCGGATTTTACCTCACCACCACGTGAGTGACGAAAAGAGTGTTACCATATACTGGATTAGTTCAAAAACTGCCCTAGATGCAGTGAAATTCCAAGGAGTATCCTAGACGATTTTGTAGTGAGTAAGTTATTTGACGCCTGGCGTAATCTTAATCATGGAATCTCTTCGGGTGGTCGACAACTCCTTTACCCTATTTTGCTTATGACAACATACAGCTGCGGTGCCAACTTTTACTTTTTAAAACCAACGGAGTTGCATATTTCCTTACATGGCCCAGTATTCCATTAACCCTGATTCATTGCACGATGCATCCCACTGACGTTCTCCGTTAGATTCATTACGTGTTTTCACCATTTTAACGCGTACTTATTGTACGCTAAATGTTCAAGTGCTCGAAATTTATTGCTCCGGAAGCATGAAGTTATTCTTATCCCGACGAAAGTGGTTTGGATTGGCACAGCAGCAGAACGTTTCTAAGGAAATGCGAAACGGTTGCTCCTACAGCGAACTGTGACTAAATACACTGAGGAAACAGGTTTTCATAGATACTTGTGATTCATTTTACGAAAAACTGAGTATATAGTCGTGCTTGAATACTTCCAAGACGATTCTCTTGATCGAACAGGGCTCATAGCCAGTGCCTGATAACTCGCGTACAAACGTGGAGCAGTATTTATATTCTTTTCGTATCACAAGTACTTCCCCTCAAATTTCGCTACCTTATCAAGTTTCCGGGGTCCACAGTCGCAAGACAGACATCTCAAGTCGTTTGTATTGCACATACTTTTCACGATGGTAGTTCGACAACTCACACCTCCACCTTTGTGAAACCCAATGCGGCTGTAAGTGGGAGACAGGTTTCCTTCGCCTGGCAACATTTGTGTTCATGTGAACAGCATGGTTGAGG